AGAGATGCACCCTTTTCCTTTCTCTCTCCCATCCGTGTCTCCTCCTCTTCTTTCTCTCCACCCCCTCCTTCATGTCTGTTTCCCCTCTCCTATCCCGCAACCTCTCCCTTGTCTTCCACTCTCCTCTATTTGCTCCTGTATCTCTGTGTCCCTCTCCAACCCTCCTCAACTCTTCCCTCTCTTTCCTCCTCTCCTTCCCCATGCCTCCTGGCTCCTCTACCATGCTCCCCTGCCCCCAAGGGCTTCTGCAGGTAGAAGTTCCCAGTTCACTGGGGCCTCTACTACCAGGGCACCTGCGTCTTATCTCTGAGCCGGCCCCTCCCAGTGGGGCTCAGGCAGGGGTCCTGCTGACTGGAGGGAAGGTGTCTGCAGCAGGCGCTGGACTCTGTACGGATCTGAGCTTTGGGAGGCCTTGGGCGCTGGCTACAAGCTACTGTGTGTTGCACTGGCTCTGGCCGATGCCTACATGCTCTCAGATGGCAACCACCCTTGCTTGGGACGCCTGAGGCCCCCATGCCCTGCTGCTGGCCCTGGTTGGAGAGCTAGAGGGCAGCCTGGCTCTGCTGTGTGGGCAGGGGACAAGCCCACCCCACTCACCCACCACCAGCCAGTGCCAGGCGCTGAAGGGACGGAAGCCTGAGCTAATCAGGCGGCTTGGTGGCATTTCTGGACACTAGCACTTGGAGTTGGTGCTGAAAGCTCTGAAGGATGTGATGTGAAGGCCAAGTCTGAGGTCAGCCTCCTCCCCACTCAGAGGTACACAGGGCTCTATGCCTACTTCCCAGGCTAGAGGGGTAGGCCATCCTCTTTTAAAAAATTGTGTTAGGGACATAGAGAACAGACTGGCGGTTGCCAAGGGGGAGGGGGCCGGGGGAGGAATGGAGTGCGAGGTTGGGGTTAGCAGATGGAAACTTTTTTTTTTTTGGCCTCATCAAGGGATCTCGATGAGGGATCTTACTTCCCCGACCAGGGATCAAACCCGTGGCCCCTGCAGTGGAAGCACAGAGTCCTAACCACTGGACCGCCAGGGAATTCCCCAAGCTTTTATATATATAGAATGGATAAACAACAAGGTCCTACTGTATAGCACAGGGAACTACATTCAATACCTTATGATAAACCATAGTGGAAAAGAATATAAAAAAAGAATGTATATACGTGTATAACTGAATCACTTTGCCGTACAGCAGTAATTAACACAACTTTGTAAGTCAACTATACTTCAATAAAAAATTATGTTAAATAAAATTAAAAAATAAAAAATTATGTATACATAACACAAAATTTACCATTTTAACCATTTTTTTAAGTGTTCAGCGGCTCTAAGTATATTCACGTGTTGTGCAACTGTCACTACCATTCATCACCAGAACTCTTCCATCTTCCTAAACAGAAACTGCACACCCAGTGGAACAACAACCCCCTATTCCTCCCAGCCCCCGGCAGCCACCACACTACTCTCTGTCTCTGTGAAGGTGACCAGGAATGGACTTTTCTTGCCCTCTCCCTTCCAGCTCCACACAGGTCTGTTCTCCGGGGTTTCCCTGTCCCCATCCTTTCTCTCCCATTGCGTGACCAAGCTGCTGCAGTACTCTGCACTGGCCACAGTTTGCTCCCTGCCCTTCCCCTGGTGTTCCTCTAGGAGGGTCCCATTCTCCTGACCTTCACCTCAGCTCCACCCCTGCCTACCTGGATGCCTCCACTCCCCACTCAGCAGGTACTTGGGATCCTGCCCTGACATTGCCCTGGAAAAGGCCACCTCATCCAATGGCCTTCTCTGGCATCTCACCTTTCTTTACTATTTGGTGCTTCTGGCCACTGTCCCCTCCTCCTGTCATGGAGTTCTCTTTTCTCTTGACCTCTGAGAGAGAGAGGAAAAAGCACGGGCTTTGGAACCCCCAGAGATATGGGTTCAAATCCTAACACTGCCCTTTACCTGCTTGGACTCTGGGCACATCACTCCCTGTCTCTGAGCCTCAGTTTCCTTATCTCTAAAACAGGACAAATCATACGGACCTCACCAGGTTGTCATGAGGATTAAATGAACTCATGGCTCTAAGTGCCCAGCACAGTGCCTGGCAGAGTGCAGGGGTCCAGCTCCGCAACTTCCTTTCCCTTTCAGCTCCTTTACTCCCCCATGTTCCTTAAACATAAGGGTTTCCCAAAACTCTGTCTCTGTTTTCTTCTCTTGCTCTGGCCTTCACCCATCTACGGATTTAGATATCACTTTATATATATATATTTTATTTATTTTTGGCTGCTCCGGGCCTTTGCTGCATGTGGGCTTTCTCTAGTTGCTGTGAGCGGGGCCTACTCTTCGTTGCGGTGCGCGGGCTTCTCATTGCGGTGGCTTCTCTTGCTGTGGAGCACAGGCTCTAGGCACACGGGCTTCAGTAGTTGTGGTGCACGGGCTTCAGTAGTTGCGGCTCACGAGCTCTAGAGCACAGGCTCAGTAGTTGTGGCCCACAGGCTTAGTTGCTCCGCGGCATGTGGGATCTTCCCGGGCCAGGGATTGAACCTGTGCTCCCTGCATTGGCAGGCGGATTCTTAACCACTGCGCCACCAGGGAAGTCCTAGATATCACTTTTTATCTCCAGTCTGACTACTCCCTCCCGAGTTTCACATCCCCAATTCTAGGTGGGACATCTCCACCCAGCTGCCTCTCATGTGCCTCCTGCCTTGGGTGACAACCACCTCTCCCCTGGGTGCCCAGGTTTGGAAACTCTGAGTCATCTCAGACTCTTCCCACTTCCTCTCCTGCTCCCACAGGTAAGCAGTCACCCCATTCTTTGATCTTCCCTCTCTGAAGGGCTTTTCCAAGGCTTTTCCCCTCCTTTCCCTGGTTCTGGCCTTCATCAGCTCTCCCTTGGACCATGTTGTGCCAGCTACCCTCCAGACACTCATCTCTCCTTTCACGGTAGGGCCAATCCCAAGAGAGTTCACCCACCCTCTCCCCTCTGCCTCTAGAACACACCCCACACAGCCACTAGGTTCTCAACAGTCCTGTCACCCAGACTGTCTTCTTCTTTTGCTTCATCTATTGTTTTATGAAGTATTTCAAAATAAATTACAGACAGGACATCTCACCCTTAAATATTTTCGTATGCAACTTCAAAAAATAATTTTCCTATATAGTCATACTATCGTCACAGCTAACAAAATTACTTTCTCATGTCTAATCCTCCGTTTATATTCACATTTGCCTAGCTGTTCCCAAGATGTCTTTCACAGTTTGTTCAGGCAAAGATTCAGTCAAAGACCAAGCATTATACTTGGTGGTGAGGTAGCTAAAGTTTCTACATCTTGACTTCAGCCCGCCTTCCCCCACTCCCATCTGTCACCACATCCTTCCCCAGCCCTGTGAGCTGGCCAACCCCAACGTGTCATGGACTTTTTTTTTTTTTTTTAATATTTATTTATTTATTTGGCTGCACCGGGTCTTAGTTGCGGCAGGCATGTGGGATCTAGTTCCCTGACCAGGGATCGAACCCGGGTCCCCTGCATTGGGAGCTCAGAGTCTTAACCACTGGACCACCGAAGTCCCCATGGACTTTGAAAACTACTCCTTTTTTACACTTGGCCCTTTCCTTGTACCTGGAACGGAGCGACTACCCTTTTATTGTCTAAGGTCACCTGGGAGCGCACCACCCACCTCTGTGAAATCAGTTCTTTTGCTTTCTTCTCTGGGGCAGAGGCACCACCTGTCCCTCCCTCTGTGCTCATCCAGCTGCCACCAGGGGTTTCTGCCTCTGTTCACAGTGTGGGCTCGGTTCTGCCTGCTGGTAGAGGACGGGGCCACCAATTGCCTCACCTCGCTGGCCCTGCGCCCAGCACGTGCCTGGCAGAAACAGATGAAACTCCTTTCTTCAGCTTCTTTGCTCCTCCTCCACGGCCTGCCTGCCGTGATAATTGGGAAGCAAAATCCAGAAGGGGCTTGGTGTGTCTTGCTGGAAGATTGTGATCCTGGAAACTGGTCCTCAGCCCAGCCCAGATCTCCTTCCTTCTGCTCTTATAGTTTCCTTCCTTGTGCACACATACTGAAGGCTCAGGAAACGGTTCTTCAGGCAGGACGAGAAGAACCTAAGGGGTTGGGTCCAGGCCAGGGGGGCAGGGGTGTTGTGGTTGGTTCTGTCCTTTGCTTGTTCACCCAGCTCCTTCTGCGGACCACCACGCAGAAGAGGTGCGTGGCAGCTTGAGACCAACCCCCTCACCTTCCAGTCCTCTCCTGGCCTTGCCCTCTGGGCTGTCCGCTAGAATGGGATGGAGAAATCCAGGGGATATGTGCCATGCCCGCCTTAGTGTCTCCCCACGCCTCTACCGTTAACAGGCTGATCCAGGAGGGGTGGGAGCTGACCTCAGCAATCCTCTCCCAGAGGGAGGGACCTGACTCTGACGTGCCATGATTGGGTGGAATGGTGCTGCGAAGGGCTTCCTCCACGTCTCGGCTCACTACTCAGGAGCCCTAGACAATGGAGAAGGGACTAAGAGAGAGAGGGACAGGAACACCCACTCTAGAACGCTGGGGGATTCCCAGGATGTGAGGCTGGGGACTTTCTGAAAGTTTATTCTGCCCCCACCCGATTCCAGAGAGCCAGCAGCGCCCTCTGCTGACTCAGGGAAGGGGTGGAATGGAGCTGGAGCGAGAGGAAGGGAGTGGGCTCTGGGTGGAGAATGCAGGCCTCTTGAAGACCATCTTGTCACCTCGACTCAGCTCTGCCGCCCGGCCGGGCGCTCAGAGAGTAACTTCGGGCCGCTCATCCCTCCTTTGGCTCTCACACGTCTCCTCCGTTTCCCTGAGCCAGAGAGAACCAGGCGGCGCCGGATCCCGCTCTCCTACCCCGAGGTGGCCCCCTTCTGGCGGCGCCAGGAGGGCGCCAGGCACCCCGAGGTCCTGCCCTGGGCGTCCTCTCTTTGCGGGGGTGGGCGCTGTCTTACGGGCAGGGGCCACGTGGCCTCGACCGGGCTGGGGGCTCGGCCTTCCCCACGCGGGCCGGGTGACTCAGGCCGCAGCTGTTCCCGCGTCACATGAGGGAGGCTGGGGCCACTCGGCGGGGGAGGGGGCTGTGGCTGGAGTCGGGGCGGGGCCGCGCGCCGGGCGGGGCCAGAGCCGGGGGGCGCAGCTAGAGAGCCCCTGAGCCGCGGCAGGAGAGCAGCGCACAGCGTCGGGGAGCCCAGGTGAGGACGCGGGGCTCGCGCCGGCTTCCGCGTGGGGTGGGGAGGGGCTCGCCCCGGGCCTCCGAAGATCCGCCGCGCTCCTCGCCGCTCCCGAGGCCCTTGCAACTTTCCAAAGTTCCGGAGGCCCGGGCGGAGTGGGGGTTGGGGGGCGCCGGCCGCACTTCTGTTTGGCGGTGGTCAGAGCCCAGGGGAAAGGGCCTGGGGGTCGGGCTGGGGCTGAGGACTGTTTCTCGTGACTAGTTGGGTGGGGAGGGGGTGTTTAACGCCTGGGGGCTGGAGGGTCGAGGGTGGGCGTCCGGCCCTGGCCCCCGCCGGCGCCCTGGGTTGGGTCCCGGGCCGCGGAGGCGGCGGGGCGGGGTCCGGGCTGGGCGGCGGGCGCCCCCACCCCTCTCCTGCGGGGAGAAGAGGGGGCTGGGAGACGTGGATCTGACCGCGGGTTTCCGGGTGGGAGGGGCCTGGAATGGGGGCCCCGCAGGGAAGGTCTCGAGGCCCGGCAGGGAGCTCGGAAGCCGAGATCCCCCTTCGACAGGTTCTGATCCCCCTGCCGTCCCCTCTGCCCCAGGCCAGGCAGCCATGGCGGTGGAAGGAGGAATGAAATGTGTCAAGTTCTTGCTCTACGTTCTTCTGTTGGCCTTTTGCGTGAGTGGGGAGCGGGGACGGTGAGGGCGCGCTGGCAGGGTGCGGGGAGACCTGGCTCCGGAGTGGTGAGGGCTGAGGGGCCAGGAATGAAGGCAGCTGGGGACCAGATGTGGAAGGAAAGCCCGGGAACGAGCGAGGCCAGCGCGGCCGTCCTCTTCTCCAGCTTTCAGGAACCTCTGAGGCTGGTTTGGACCGACAATGGCGGGCCACCCTCCCCGTAACCCCTCCGGGCCCTTCCTGTCTGGTGACCCAGTCTCTTGTGATATGGGGCAGTGGGGCAACCAGCCAACCGCCTGATGCTATCGCCACCCTCCTCTCTCCCCCTCCACTCCCTCATTTCTTGCCATTCTCTCATCACCCCTCCCGGCTGCTTGGGGTGGGTAAGGGCTCTGCCCACCTCCATTGCTCCCGTCCTGGGCTCCTGGCTGAGACGCTACCGTTTGTCCAGGAAGGGGCAGGCTACTTTTACCCCCTTTTCCTCCTCCCTGGCCTAGTTGGCTTGAGGAACCCTAGTCACAGCTGATGAGGATGTGGTGGGCATTGGGGGATAGTGAGAGGACAGTTCTGGGAGCCCTAGAGGCCCATAGGAAGAGGCTCAGAGGAAGCACTGCTCTTTGTTAGTGTTAAGCACTGCCCTGGGGTCAAGGCTTTCTGAGAACGTCTCTGTTTGCTTTTGGTGAGGAGCTTCTTGAAAGAAGGCGTGGTTCCTCCTGGTTGCCTTCTCCCAGAGAGCCTTGAACAATTTCCCAGCCCTCACTGTGGGGCAAGGATGCGTCCTCCTTCTCCCCCATAGTCAGAAGTTTCCTGGGGCTGTGAGAATCGGCCTCTATGGCGCAGGGTTCCGCCTGTGTCCTGGGTGCACCACCGTGAAGGGCTGATGGGTTGTGGGTCTTCTGAATCCTGACCTGCCCTCCTCCCAGGCCTTTGCAGTGGGGCTGATCGCTGTGGGCATAGGGGCCCAGCTTGTCCTGAATCAGGCCATCACCCCGGGGACCACCCCTGGCTCCCTGTTGCCCGTGGTCATCATCGCAGTGGGTGCCTTCCTCTTCCTGGTGGCCTTTGTGGGCTGCTGCGGAGCCTGCAAGGAGAACTACTGTCTCATGATCACGGTGAGTGGGTACGGGCCAGCCTGGGTGCCTGGGACTGCGGAAGGGCATTTCTCTGGAGGGGGCTTGTCGGGGTGGGTGGGTGAGGGAAACCTTGGTGAACGTTCCCGAGACCGGCAGGCCCCTCTCACCCAGACTCCAAACGTGACTCCCGTCCTTTGCACCTGCAGTTTGCCATCTTCCTGTCCCTTATCATGCTGGTGGAGGTGGCTGCAGCCATTGCTGGCTATGTGTTTAGAGACAAGGTAAGCAGGGAGTAAAGGGAGGGCCTTGCCTCAGAGGCCTGGAGACTCTGGGACCCAGGTGCCCTGAATTCTGGCCTCAACAGTGCTCCTCCCTACTCCCAGGTGATATCAGAATTTAATAAGGATTTCCGGCAGCAGATGCAGAATTATCCCCAAAACAACCATACAGCATCGCTCCTGGACAGTATGCAGGAAGAAGTGAGTGGGGTTGCTGGGAGCAGGGGTAATGGGGGAAGGAGATTCTCATCTCTATGTTGAAGATGGAGGTTCACCTAACAGCCTTTTCCCCCATATCTTTCCGCAGTTTAAGTGCTGCGGGGCGGCTAACTACACAGACTGGGAGAAGATCCTGATGGTGGCCAAGCGAGTCCCTGACTCCTGCTGTGTCAATGTCACTCAGGGCTGTGGGATTAATTTCAACGTGAAGGATATCCATACTGAGGTAGGGAGGGGGCTGAGATAGTAGGGGACTTGGGGAAGCTGGGAAATGTTTCAGGAGGAAAGAGGGACCCGGGGTGGAGGTGGAGAGGGTTGGGGCTCTGGGAAGTTGGGCGTCAGGGGTGGGGAGGGAATTTGGGTATACTAGGGGTGGGGTTAAAGGTACAGAGGGTGGGGGAGAGACAGATGGTCCAAGGAAGGTGGGTGGGAAGTTTCTGATGGTGTCTTGTGTGCCTGCCACCCTTCAGGGCTGTGTGGAGAAGATCGGGGGCTGGCTGAGGGACAAACTGCTGGTGGTGGCTGCAGCAGCCCTGGGCATTGCCTTTGTGGAGGTGAGAGACGCCCTTGAGCATCTGGGATCTAGGGGCAGTGGGAGGGTGCTGAGCAGGAGGTGCTGGCCTGGGGAGGGGAGGCCTGGTGGTGTTTGGGGTCTCTTGGGTGGGCCCCGGGTACCTTACTTCCCTGACTCCTCTTCACCCCCATCTCTGTCTTTGCTTCTAGGTCCTGGGTATCGTCTTTGCCTGCTGCCTTGTGAAGAGCATCCGAAGTGGCTATGAGGTGATGTAGGGGGTCTAGTCTCTTCAGCCCCCTCATCCAGGGGAGTGGGTAGTATACTCCAGGTTTTTCAATTAAACGGATTATTTTTTCAGACCGAAAAGAGAGAGAGTCTCAGTTTGTCTTAAAGAGTGATACTTTATCCCTTCCCCCTCCTCATCCATGTTCCTGTCCTCTGGGACCCCGTTCTGTTTGCACCTCTGGAAAGGCAGGCCTACTTTGGGGGGTGTGGAGGAAAGGAGGATTGTGCTGAAGGCGTTCGTTGGGCTGGCAGTGGAAGTGGGGATCCTGAGGCGGCTGAGGCCCACTGCCCTCCCTGTCTCCTAGTCTTGTGCTGCCAGGCTCAGTGCTGAAGTGTTCGTGAAGCCATTTCCCACGTCAAAGGGATTCTCTACCAAGGTCCTACCTGGGAGAGACCAGCCCACATCCGCTGTCGACATCTTCTCCCTGGCCTTCTGCCCACCTCTGAGGGCCCAGCAACTCCTTGCCACCCTGACCCTCAAGGGGGCCTGGCTCCTTTCAGGATGGTGACAAGTTGCTTTTATACCTGTGTGGCCAGTGTCTATCCTTCTTGACTTACGTTAGATAACAGAAGAATTTAAGAGGGTATTGGCTTTTTTCCCATGGAAACCACCCAGCTTGGCCTTGACCCCTCTTCATCACCTCCCCATGCCCCCCTTCCCACTCCAAACACTGAATTTCAACCTTACTCCAGGAAGAAAGGAAACATCCAACAGTGCCCTCTAGTGGCCACCCCTCCAGGTGCAGCTTCAAAGATGCCTTACAGATGCAAGACAATCCCCTTGCGCCCCCGAGTGGGTGCTGGTTGTTTTGCAGGTACTAAATGGGCCAGAGACCCTGGAGGATGTCAGCCTAGGTTAGTTAGGAGTTACATAGGGTCTTCCACTGGGCACCTTCATTTTTGCCCACCTACAGTGTTTTTTGTTTTGTTTTGAACAACACACATTTTAATTAATTAATTAATTTTTGGCTGTGTTGGGTCTTCGTTGCTGTGCGTGGGCTTTCTCTATTTGCGGCGAGCGGGTGCTATTCTTCATTGCGGTGTGCGGGTTTCTCATCGTCATGGCTTCTAGTGTTGCAGAGCACAGGCTCTAGGTGCCCGGGCTTCAGTAGTTGTGGCACGCGGGCTCAGCACTTGTGGCGCACGGGCTTAGTAACTCCGCAGCCTGTGCGATCTTCCCGGACCAGGGCTCGAACCCGTGTCCCCTGCACTGGCAGGCGGATTCTTAACCACTGCGCCACCAGGGAAGCCCCAATACACATTTATTGAGTGCCTGTTTTGTACCAAGCACCAGGCAGTGCCAGGGTGGGGGACAGAAATAAATCAAAGTCCTTGCCTTGAACGACAACCTCTTGCTGGAGGGCTGAGTTCAGCAGACCGCCTGAGCAGGCTTGGGAAGGACCCAGGTGAGCACAGCATCCACCAGGCTGGCTGGCAGGTAGGAGGCTGGCAGCCAGAGCAGCTTGGCGTCCCAGCCTGGGCTGTAGCGGGTTCTGGGGTGACGGGCAGTCAGGGCATGCTCCAGGCACTTGCTCACCTTGGTCAGGTCCGGGTCACAGATCAGGTTCATGATGCGCTGCTGCACTCTCAGATCTGCGGCCCAGCGGACGGTTGTCATCAGTGTCCCTGTCCTGTTCCAGCCTACCTCAGGCCCTATCTCCTGGGGCCTGGGGCTTGCTGCCCAGTAGAGGTGAGAGGGGTCCTCAGTCCCCTCCCCAGTTTGGGGAGTGGGCAGGTTGCACATGGCCTGGGTGTTCTATGGCATCCCGTTCACCCTCACCCTTTCCCTGACTGCTCTACCCACCTCCTCCCAGCAGGCTGGTGCAGGCCTGGCCTTTGTGGCACTCTCATTTCCCTTCATATGCCCCTGCGTGGGCCCATCACTCACATTTGGTGAGGAAGGTCTCCCCATAGAGGGCCTGTGTGGCTGGAGGCAGCCGTGCCCAGCAGGCCTGCAGGCTGTCCTCCAGACTTTCCAGGTTTGTCACGGGGGTTCGGAAGAAGCCAGGCTCCACGATAGAGACTCGTACCCCGAAAGGAGCCACGTCCCGCCTGGAGTGGGGGCAGAGGGAGGTTTCTGGGTTCTTGTCTTTATAGGGAGAGGACTTTAGGGACATGGGTAGGGAGGCTAAGATAGGAAAGCATCACAGGGTCAGTGGTCATGACAGGAAGGGATATCCCCGCTGCCCTGGGATGAGGGGCAAGTGGGGCAGAGGGAAGGAGGTATTTTTGAGGTTTGTTTTCCTTTGTATTCTCTTCTAGCATCTAGAGCAGGGACTTGCAAACTTCTTAAAGGGCCAGACAGTAAATATTTTCCACGTTGCAGATCTAAAATTAATGGTATTATGTAGCTACTTATATAACCATTTACACTGTCGCCATTTAAAAATGTAAAAGCCATTATTAGCTTGTAGGCCAGTGGCGGGATCTGGCCTGAGAACCACAATCTGCCAACTCCTGAACTGGAAGAACCACAGTCCCCAGATCCCAAAACACAGGGTTGAGCCCCAACTGCTGGATATGGAGGGTGTAGACTGGTGTTTGCTGGGGGAAGGCGGGAGTACTCAGCACAGACTGCAGAAGTTCAAGTATAAAGTACGTGTTCTGTGATGCTGGTTGGAAAATTAAAAGACTGAGGCATAGGGACAAAAGTAGATATTGATGTCGTTTGCTGAGTGATGGTGACAGAGGAAGACTTCCTTCAGGAGGTGGGCCCAGCTTGGGGGAATCGAACTCTGCTCCTGTGTCATCCTTAAGTCTCCCTTGTGCTCTCGTGGGACTTTGAACATTATTGTCTAAAGATGAGGGGCAGGAGAATGTAATGACCAGGGTCTGTAGGCAAGCAGACCTGGGCATACGTGGCAGTGCTCCCACTAACTATCATGTGGTCTTGGGTAACTTATGTTACCTAAGGGTGTTAACACCTACCCTTACAGGATTTTTGGGAGAATTGAATGAGAAAGTGTTCAGTAGAGGTACTAGCTCATGGTAAGTAATAGTTGTTATTAGTAATAATAACATTAATAAGAATGAGAGCGGGCTTTTGGGGGCATTTTCTACGTGCCAGGCTCTGTTGGGGCCTCACATGTACCTCATTTTACTCACCCATGAGGCGGGCCTTCTCATCCTGATTTAACAGAGGAGGAACAAACTGGGGAAAAGAGAAGTAACTGACTAAGGTCACCAAGCTCACATGAGAGAAGGCTGGGATTTGAACCCACAAACTCGAGCCCTAAACTGTCTCTAAGTTTCCACCACGCCCTGCTTTCATCAGCTCTGCAGGGCAGATGCTAACCTGCTTGTTGAGTGGCTCCCCCCGGACTGGGAGCAGGGCCCTGCGCCCCTCACCTCAGGCTGTCAGAGAACGCCTCCAGGCCAAACTTGGAGACACAGTAGCCCCCTCCATTGGCTGCCAGGCGGCCCAGCACACTGGTGATGTTGATCACCCGGCCCTGGGCCTGCCGCAGCAGGGGCAGCAGGGCGAGGGTGACCCCGATGGGACCCAGTGTGTTCACATTCAGCACCCGCTGGAAATCCTCCTGTGTCTGCCAAGGTGTGGGCCCGATGATGCCAGCCGTGCCGGCATTATTCACCAGACCAAAAAGCCCTGTGGGGAGGTGAGACAGGCACAGGGTAGGTGAGGCATTCCAATGGGCCCTCTCCTTTCCGGGAGGATCTGAGCCCTGCTCCTCCCCCGCAGTCCCTCTAGCTTCCCACAGCCCCTGCGAGTGCACACCTTACGCCCCGTTCCCGGTGGCCCCTTACCATACTCACCTGCTTCCCCGACGTGTGTTTCCACCCACTTGGCTGCCTGCCGGACGCTCTGGGGATCTGTGACATCCAGCAGGGTGGTGTGGAGTCGGGAGGAGGCCACCCGCTCGAGGTCCTCTGCCCCTGAGGGGGTCAGGCAGCTGGCCAGGACTCGGAAGCCTCTCTGGTCCAGCCTCAGTGCCAGAAGCCGCCCAAAGCCCGAGTCACAGCCGGTGACAAAGACGAAAGCATCGCTGGCGGGCAGGCTCTGCCGGTCCCTGAGCAACCACAGTGCTGCCCAGAGCGAGACTCCAAGAAGCAGAGGCAGCCACATGGCCGGACCCCAAGTGACCTGCAGGTGGCAGCCGAAGCTGGGCAGGGAGACTTGTCTAGTTTACTCTGGCCCACCAGCCCTCACCCCTCATATCTTCCCCCTAACTGGAAGTCCCTGGTTTGAGCAGTCTGAGACTCGCAAACTACAGTTCATCTAAGTAAAGCGAAGATCTGGGCAGACCCTGTATCTGTGGGTAACTTAACTAAAACCAGATGAGCTGGGTCCTGTGTGCAGACCCGCCACGCAGGAGCAGAGGGATCTTGTTATCACCTCTTACCTCCTGCTAAACCAGCTGGGCCTTATTTTTGGAGACACATACGGAGCCCCTGCATTTTAGTCCTGCTGGCTCCAAGCTTACTGTGTGAGGCCGAGCACCTCACTGTGTCTCGGAACCTGTTTTCTCATCTACCAAGTGGGACTAACACCCAGCACACCCACCTGGGAACCGCGGGGGATCAAAGGGGATAAAGTGTGAGGAGGCGCATGAAAAGCTTTAGGCTTTGAGTTATCAATACATGAACATCTTGCCAGTCTTCTCATAGCCCCCGAGCTCCCAGTACCCTGCTTACCTTCTCAGGGGAAAGCTAGCAGGCACTACAACACCTGAAGTTTCTTCTTTTGCTTTGCTTGAGAAACTTTGCTCCAGGGCTTCCCAGGCTCCCACTAGCTACCACTGAGGCCAAAGTCCGAGGCAGGTGGACTGGGTGCCAGAAGTATTAAGTGCATGTGGGGCGGGGTGGGGGAGGAGGAGCCAGGGAGGCTGAGGCCTGTGGGTTGAAGCCAGGGCTTGCTACAGGCCAGAAGCGCCCAGTGCCCTGCTTGGCTCTCTTTTCCAGTGGGGCTCCCTGACCACCTCTGTCACAGATTCTTTTCTTTTTCTTTTTTTTCCTAAATTTTTGAATTCCACAAGGCTTAGTCGTTTTTTTTTTTTTTTTGCGGTACGCGGGCCTCTCACTGTTGTGGCCTCTCCCGTTGTGGAGCACAGGCTCCAGACGCGCAGGCTCAGCGGCCATGCCCAGGGGCCCAGGCGCTCCGCGGCATGTGGGATCTTCCCGGACCAAGGCACGAACCCGTGTCCTGCAGGTGGACTCTCAACCACTGCGCCACCAGGGAAGCCCCGTTTTTTTTTTGTTGTTTTTTGTTCTTTCTTTTAATTTATTTTTTGGCTGCGTCGGGTCTTCATTGCTGTGTGCAGGCTTTCTCTAGTTGCGGCGAGCGGGGGCTACTCTTTGTTGCGGTGCGCGGGCTTCTCATTGCAGTGGTTTCTCTTGTTGCAGAGCACGGGCTCTCGGTGCCCGGGCTTCAGTAGTTGCAGCTCGCGGGCTCTAGAGCGCAGGCTCAGTAGTTGTCGCCCACGGGCTTAGTAGCTCCGCGGCATGTGGGATCTTCCTGGACCAGGGCTCGAACCCGTGTCCCCTGCATTGGCAGGCGGATTCTTAACCGCTGCGCCACAAGGGAAGTCCTGTCACAGATTCTTAAGAGGAGGGATCTATCAAGGATGGCAGCTGCCCCTCTCTGTTGGTGACCTTGGACCTGTCACTCCTCCCCCTTCCCTGCCCTGAAGTGCTCCCATGCCCAAGAATTAATCTCCCAACTGGTCCAGACTCATGACACTGCTTAGCACCAGGCTGGGAGAGGCCGTGAGCACGTGGAGAGGCAGAGAGCCAGAGCTGGACCAGGCCTGCTCCCTGTCTTGTTTCTCCTCTTCGGGAAATGGAAGTCCTGGGTTAGGAAGCTTGGGACAGGGCCCCCTGCCCTTCTCTGGGGAGGGGTGGGAAACTCCCACCCTCTGCTTACCCAACAGTACCTGCATCAGGTACCAGGCCCAAGGAGGAGAAGAGAGTTGAGCTTGTAAGAGGAAGCTAGTTCCAGCCTCTACCCAAAAGGTACCATTGCTCAGAGGAAGAGTCTTCGAACCTTCCATTCCTACCCCCCACACTGAGCTAGTAGCTCCTTGAGACACACACAGAGAAATGGAGGCTTGTGTTTTATTCATGGCCTGTCACCCTGCTTCCTGCCCACCTGGGGGAGGTAGGAGGAGTGGGGGAGGGGAGGGCAGTGGGGCTAGGAGGGGGCCGACTGCAGCTGCCCTTTGTAGACGTACTCCAGCGCAGTGGCAATGGTGCGCATGTCCAGCTCGATGCTCCGAGCCCAGTTCTCCACATCCCCGATTTCCTGGAAGGTGGTGGTGGGGTGTGGAGTCCGGGAGTCAGGGTGGGTGGGGTGTGGCTCTAGGGGATGGATGGGGGTACTTTCATTCCATCCCCTACAAAGGGCTTCGCGTGGACCCACCAGCTGCTTTTACTTCTCTAGCTTCTGTGACACTGGGGCCATAGATTTCTGGGGTTTCTGGGACGATCCCCACTTCCTCCTCAACCCCAGGCCTGAGGTGACCGCACTGGAGGCAGCCAGTGGGGGCGCAGGATGTGGCTGGAGACGTAGGGAGCGTGGCCTACCTTGAGCGCCTGGTTGAAGTTCTCCACCATCCCGATCCACTGGCCTGTCTGCTTGGCAAACTGGGCAGCCTGGACCTGTAGGGTCTTCACCTCGTGGTCCAGCTTTCTCTGGTTCATGTAGGCCTGGGCCACGCTAGAGGTTGCAGGAGGAAGGAGGTCAACTCGCCCAGCTGGTGGGGAGTGGTCTCCAGAACTGATACCCCACTGCCAGAGTGGGAGGCCGGTCAGGAGTCAGGCTGGAGAAAACCGTGTGATTTTGGCCATTCCTGGATGTGAGGCAAATGACTACGATGTACATGCAAATGAGCACGGTCCCTTCCTTCCATTCCCAGGATTCCCAGGAGAGCCTAGCCGGGAGCTGACCAGAAACATACCATTTCCTACCCCCAGAGGAGTTCTTGAAGCTGGGTGAGAAAAGGGAGGGTTAACCTGGTGGGGCTGAGGGGTATCACCGAGGAAGAGGCTGGGAGGGAAAAGGGGGCGTGGGGAAACTTGGGAAATCCAGCGGCAGGGACACATCTGGCAATGATTGGAAGGCCAGAGATCCGTGTGAGAAGTTGGGAAGGGAAATTGGGCTCCTCCCTAAATCTGGGGTGGGATGGGAGAGCAACCCCCTCCCCAGGAACTCAGGGTCAAGGGAAGATATCCCAAGGGCTGCTTCTTGGCTCTCTCTCCCAGTCCTCCTCTCGCCCACATAGATGAACGAACACACACACACACTCTCTCTCTCTCTCTTCCTTCTGCTCTAGGCAACTGTTTTTCTATTCTCCTCGATCATGGTTGCCTGCAGTTACATTACTGCTCCAAGGCTGGTATCCCTGCCCCCCGCTCACCCTCCCCCCCCGCAATAACTGTGCAATAACTGTTCCCCCTTGCTGGCTGATGAATCTTTCATTCCCCACCCCAAAGCTCTGGGTCAGCTGAGAGACTCCACATCCGCTGCCCCCCCCCCCCACTGGAATCTGTGGGGACTGGAGGGGACAAGGGGATGGGGCGGGGGGGGGTGTCTAGAGAGTGGGAAGGACACCTGACAGGGGCTGAGATAGACTGAGCCTTTGTTTTCCTTTCTGGGGAATGAGAGGAGCCGTGGGCAGCAACACAAAACCCTTTCTAATCTGGCTTTGGCTTAGCTGCCCTCTAAGCTGAAAGTGGGGTGGCCCCTAGCAAAGGAAGAGAAGCAGGAGAAGCCTGGGCCAACCACAGAGCAGAGCCCAGGAGGCGCCAATGTGGGAGGGAGGGAAGCCACAGACCCTGTCTCTTCTCTCTGGGGGACAGCTGGGTCACAGTACGGAGTGTTGGAGGAGCTGAAACAGTCATAGCAGGGTGCTCCCAATGCTTCAAGATTCCCCTGGGAGTTCCTGAAATCCTTATTTTCCCTGTTGACCTCTTGCTTTCTCTCATTCACACTGCGTGGAGGGAGAGGCCTGGAGGGAAGGGAGATCAGAGGCCCCAACCACAGCCTTCTCTCCCTCTAATCTTCCCGAGATGAGCAATGAAGGTGACAGTTCCTGCCTGGCTCACTTAGGTGACTCAGCCTCTGACTTCACAGCCAAGCTATTCGACTTGCCCTGGGGTGGAAGGCATCATACTGCCTCCTTTCTCCCAACAGATGGCCTGGCTATCAGATCATCATCTCTCCACTTTTCTGGGTCACTCAGGGTCAAGAGACAATGTTCTTTGCTCCTTCCCAAGTCACTGGTCATTACTGGCATCCTCACTTAGGACCAAAGCAAGGGGTGGTCTCTGGAGACCCAGAAGGAAGGGAAGTGACAGCCTGGCTCTAAGGTGGCTCCTGGCATAGGTTCTGCCCTCACCCTCACCAGCTGTGCCATCTCTTTCCTGCCAGCTGCTCTCCAGGTCTGCCAGAGGGTGGGACGTGGAGAAGGAGGGGCTGGGAAGCTGTGGTGAAGGACGGTGCTCTCCCTCCTGCTGGAAGTGACAGCTGCACTTGGACGGGTGAAGAGAGGTGGCCAGACGGCATCACGTTGTGAGCACCAGGGAAGTTATTGTTGGGAAGGGGAAATCTGGCTGCTTTTCCAACCACCGCAGCTGTTCCTCTCTGCCCTTGTTAGGGGTCAGAGCTGGCTCAAGCCTCTCTCCATAAAAGTTAAGCTGGGTGGGAGGAGGATAGGGGAATGAGCAGAACATCTCATCTCCTCAAGAGCAGTCTGAGAGCTAGACCTTGCCAGTGCCTAAACTTGGGGGGGGCGGGGTTGGTGTTGATGGGAAGAGGTTCATACCCCACATTGAGGTGATCCACCAAAGCTTCTGTCAGGCAGGTCGCTGCAGTGATAGCCTCTCGCCTCCTCTTCTCTGGGTGGAGGGGGAAAAGGGATTAGAATGGAGACTTGGTTTTTTGAGGGGTGGTGCTTAAGGTTCCCCCACCCATTCATTATTATTCTGCTAGTTGTGGGAACATTTCAACTAATCTCAGAGTGCCAGAGCTGAAAGGACCTTGCAAAACATAAAGCAAGCCCTTTCATTTTAGCGGTGAGGAAACTGGTACCCTGAGAAGGGAAGCAATTCGCCCGGGGACGCTAACGAGTCTGTGGCAGCGCCCCGGACTCCAGCCTCTCAGGCACGCTTTTCCCCATGTCTTGGCTTTAGGATTGGTAACTCCGGGATTCCCAGCCCGGATTCAGGAAACAAGGGCCCCACCCCCATTTCGGTGGTTTCAGGCCTCCAAGAATCCCAGCTCTGCTGGGTCCCCAACACCCGCTTCCTTTCAGGAGCGTTCCTTCCCACTTCCAGGATGAGCGGCTCCGTGGACCAATCGGCACAGCGTTCCGTGACAGAGGGCGGGGCTAGGATGCCGCGGAGACAGCGTGGGGGGGCGTTGCCGTGGGGTACTGGAGCGCTGCTACAGACCAGGGCCCGTTGGCAAGAGAACGGAGCTCCCCAAAAAGCTCCTCTAATTCCCTCTCCCACATGCCCGTGCCCACTGGCCTGCGCCCTTCCTTGGATTTGGGCCGTTACTCAAGGTCCAGGCTCTGGGCTGAGGCTAGGCCGCGGCGGGAGAGAAAACGGCGGACTGGATATTTGGCTCACCCTGCAGCTCCTTGCGTTCATTCTGCTTGGCCTGGTGTTCTTTCAGCAGGCGGGACAGCATGGTCGCGGCGGGCTGGGGGCAGGGCGCGCCCGGCCCCCTCCGGCTCCCGGAACTGGAACGAGCTGCTCGGCTCCCGCTGGGCCGGGGGTCACGTGACTGCAGTGTCACGTGAGGCCCGGAAAACCGCCCTCCTTTTGAGACTTGGGGTGGTAGGTAATGAGGATCTTGGCTGGGAAGGGAGGGGATAGTAGGGCCAGGTGAGCTCTTGTCTTTATTGGGAGCTCACTTTTGGTGAGTGTGGGAACGTGGGTTTCGTACCCACATTGCAGAACCAGTTTTTAATCTCCTCTGGATCTCAGGCTCCCAGGAGGGTGGTTGTTGCCAGGCTGTCCATCACGGTTCGGTTGTTGCGGGAGCAGAGGCTCCCAGGACTCATTG